TCAGTGGCGCCGCTGGCTTGGGCCGTGTTCGCTGTTCCTGCAGGACCTCGGAAGCTGCCCGTGGCTCTCCCGTGTCGCAGAGCTTGAGGCGGTCAGTGCTGGGCAGCGAGCTGGGCTGCTGCCCGCCGCCCCTGGTGATGGAGAAGGTGTTCGGTGAAGGGGCCTCTCCGCGCTGACGGTGGGAGTCGGTGCTCGGCCCCAGCCGGGGTCGGGTGGGGGGGTGGTGGTGCTTTGAACCGACTGCTGTTTCTCACCTCCGCTCCCCAGTGCTGCGGGCTCTGCTCGAGGCATAGAAAGTTCAGGTCTGTCGTAAGGTTGAGCCCGTCAGCCTGCTCGGAGTCTGAAGCTGTGAGAGGGCTATAATTCTGCGTGCACCCCTAGGCTGGGAGGCTGGAGGTGTGAATAAGCGGCGCTAAGCCTGAACTCGCAGGGTGAGCTTCTTGTACACCAGACTGTACCAAATAGAGATGCTACCTGGTAGTCAGGCTGTCATTGCTTCTTACACCTAGTAGTGGTATCGGAGAGTTGAGTGGTAGGAGTCAGTATTGCGAATTAGGAGAGATTAATGTTTAGTTCTCCCTAGTACCTAATGTAAAGTATTTTAGAATGGCAATTGAGTGCAGCATATAACAGTTTGTTTGTTTGTTTGTTTTTAACGTGGCTGTGAGCAGTGCTGCTTTCTTTTCTTATAGCATGAACTTTTAATCTGATTTTTAGTTTCATAACAGTATGCAGTTATGGACATTATGAATAGAATAATCACAGACTCGCAGAATGTTAGGCGTTGGAAGGGACCTCGAAAGATCATCTAGTCCAACCCCCCTGCCAGAGCAGGACCACCTAGAGTAGGTCACGCAGGAACGTGTCCAGGCGGGTTTTGAATATCTCCAGAGAAGGAGACTCCACAACCTCTCTGGGCAGCCTGTTCCAGCGCTCTGTCACCCTCCCAGTGAAAAAGTCTTTCCTTATGTTAGTAAGGAACCTTCCATGCTCCAGCTTGTGCCCGTTGCCCCTTGTCCTGTCATTGGACATCACAGAGAAGATCCTGGCTCCATCGTCCTGACACTCACCCTTCATGTATTTATAAATGTTAATAATGTTGATGTATCTTAAAATAGATCTGTGAATTCCTCTTTCTCTTGTCTTGAGTACAGCCCCCTTTTCCCTCAAAGCCTTTTGATATTGCTAAACTTATTTGTAATTTGGTGTCTTTTTGTTATCTTAAGCTGACTATATAATTATAAAATGTTTTTCTTCTATCCTGCAGTGCTTCACATGTAGTTGTCTCTCTCGTGAAAAACTATCCAAACTATCTGATTATAAATCTAGATAAGGTAAGTAGCTTGTTTTCTTCCTTGCTGTGGAAACTATTTTAAATTCTTTTTAATGCAATCTAAAGCGTGTTGCGATTTGTATGGATTAATGCTATTTATTTGTTTGACTACCCATTTGTTCCTATGGAAAAAAAAAAACCAATTTAACTGTTGTTCGTGCTTACAGTCCTGCGCTTACCACAAATTATCACCTGCAAAAAAAAATTAAAAAAATTTTAAAAATTGAAGGAAGCTTTTGAAGTTTGAAACCTCTTTTTAAGAATTTTTGCAGTTAAAATATCTTTCAAAGTTTTATTTTTTTTTAAGCTTCATCGTGTATGCTTGCAAAATAGCTTTTCTTTGGAAAGAAGTTTTTACTTTGTTCTCAAAACTTTCTAGTGATTAGGCTGGATCTGAGTTAGCTTATTTACTTTCAAGAAGCCCACTTAATGATATTGTGTGGATGTGTCTCTTTAGCTCGACTACTGTGCAAGCTTGAAGAATCTTGAAACTATCTCTGAGAGAGAAAACTACAAGTTTATCCAGGTGATAAAGCCTTCTTTTCTAGGAAACTTGACTTTTTACTGATTTTTATGCTTTCGTATCAAGGTAAATGTGGTCTCTCCAGAGCTCCCTGAACTAGAAGCTGCTGCTTTTGTTTATGGTAAAGTTGAAATTACTTCTGCTAATTCATTGTCAACAATAAGTCAGTGTGTGTGTAGTGTGCCAATGTGTGTGACAATCAGATGGACATAACGGCATTTACTTCATCTGTTTACCTTTGTTAATAGACTTCATCTTTCACCCACAGAAGTCTGTGACGGTATGTGGTATGTTCTATCTCTTACATGAAGTAGTCTTTTGCAAGTTGATGTATTTTACTGTATAGTAAAGGTACAGAACTGGTAAAAGCGTGGTTATGGAGATGAGTGGTTTTAGGGATGATTGTTTCACTTTTGAAAGGTGGTATGGACAAGATGGACTCAGATTCGACCCCTCCATACTTTTCTGATGCTGTCTTAGATTTTGCACCTTCAAACACTACCACTTGTCATATTCCATGGTGTGCAACACGCTCTTGTTAGCACTAGACATCAGGCTACGTTCTTGCTTTTGCTGCTGTTGATGTTGTGTAGTTCATAGTTGTTCTGGAATAGGGTCTCATGGGAACATTCAAGGTATATGTTTTCTTTCCAAAACTTTGCCAATTAAATTAGTTTACTGTTTCCACAGTTTCATCTTCAGACAGGAGATGGATTTAAATTTATTGTTCAGATAAACATTCTGACTGCTGCATTTGTGTGCTGAGGTTCTCCCCCTATATGAAAATCCTTACTGATGCTCTGTCTAGCTGGGCTGCGCAAGGGTGCAGGACATCAGAGAAATGCATATAATTTTATTTTCTGAAATAACAACTTCGGAGCAACTTTGTCAGAGGTAGTAGATGTAAGTTAAACATATCTCTTAGATCCAGGCAAGGCTGGGAGTTGAACTTGACCTTGCCTGTTTGGTGACCCCCCATGGCTGTTCACACGTTTGTGAACATACCTCTATTTCAGTAAGTGATTATCTCTGAGCTATTGGAATAAAAGTTGTATGAGGGGAAAGGGGATGACTACTGGGCAAATGTATGCAGTTTCGGCATTAAAAAAATTCCCAGACTAGGTTTTTGGTTGTTTTTCCTAACGTTTTTGACAGTTTCCAGATGTGAAATGTGTGAAAGCTGTAGAAAACCTTCTTATCCGGGTATATATTAACACTTAATTGCTGGGGATAGCATGGAGTTCTGGAAGGCGTCCTGTAAACTGTCAGATCCCTACGTGAAGTAGGGGAATAGTACAAGGAATGGCGTAGCTATACTGGCTCTGAACTAGAGTAGGAATATGTTCTCACAAAACTTACACGGAAAATCCACTTCACCTTATATGATGTCGCTAGGTGTCACTGTCTGCTCGCCAGGCTCCAGTAACACTTTTATTTGCTGTGGGAACTTGTCATTTCAGCCTCAGCGTGCAAGCTACATACTGTACTTCTGTTGTGTATATTTTGCGGGCGATACTGTTTCTAGTGCTAAATAGTAATGTAAATCCTGAAATGAGTTTCCGTGAGGCTGTTGCTGAAAATGTGTGAAATTTATATCTGGTCTTGTTTTAGATGTGGCATTGATAAATTTCCCCAAGCTCAGTTGGTAGTGCTATTTGTAGCCTGCACTTCCTTTGTAATGGTTTGTTATGTGATGCTTGGTACAAATGAAAGCTTACTATTTTCTGTCAAAAATAATATGTTAATGAGTATTTTTTACTGTTTAGGGAGATATTTGTGAACGTGATTTTATAAAACAGCTCTTCAAAAGGGAGAAAATAGATATAGTCCTTCATTTTGCAGCCCAAACACATGTAGGTGAGCATTGTTGCATGTTTTGGTATTATTTTCCATAAGTATATTTGTTTGAAATATACACAGGTTGGGTTTTTTTTGTCTTTTCCCTTCATATAAAACAAGGGTACAGTTTGTCTCTGCAAACTACAGGATGCGTGGTATGGTGACCTTTTTAACTTAAGGGGGTTCAGAGACTTAATTTAAAAAGTGCTTCGTCTGACTGTTGTCTGTTTTGATTGTGCATACGTGGTAATGCCTTTTTTTTTTTTTTGCATTACAATTTTAAATTCCAACTGGGCACACAGGTAACTGACGGTGTACTGGTGGAGTCATGAAGACAATGGAAGAAGAGTTTGTATATAGTCTAAAGTTTTTACTTGATTGGCTCCAACCTTGCAGGAAAAAACACAGAGTGGAAGCTGAAGAATTAGGCATAGCTGCCTTCAGAGGCCTGCCTGGGCTTTAAAAAGAGAGAGAGTGAATTGCATTTAAAAGGCCTATTTCAGATTCCTACTCTTTCGTAACACCGTTCATGAGAACCATCCATATATTCCATCCTTTCATCGTGAGAAGAAATCCTTGAAGAATTCTCCAAGAAAATATTTATCAGAATTGTCAGATTTGATATGCCTAAAGTCATTAGGTCAGTGGAACAATTCTAAGAATTAAAAAGGTGCTAGTTAAATAAAAGTAATAGGTTTATATTACTGCATCTTGCAACTGTCTTTGAATGATACTTTTCTTACTGAGCTTGTCCCTTCCTAGTGGAGAGGAGAAGTAGTTATGCTGTCTCCTAAATAAAGTGAGGTAATGCTATTTCAGATGGAATGATCCATAGCCAACAGGCTTTTGCTTTTGATTCCAGCCTCTTGTTGAGAGCAAGGATTTTGTCTTTAAATGCAGAAAGTGTCTTCATTTAATAATGACCTTGCTATCTGACAGTTGAAGAACTAGTGATAAAGTCGCAGTCTATATTGCAGCCTCTAATATTATGGTTCAGTATGAAGCCGCATCGTGCCTAAATTTAATCAGAATTGTCTGGATTTTTTTAATGTAGATCTTTCATTTTGGCGTGCCCTGGAATTCACTTACGTGAATGTTTATGGCACTAATGTGCTGGTTGCTGCTGCACATGAAGCCAATGTGGAGAAGTTTGTTTATGTCAGTACAGATGAAGTATATGGAGGTGGCACTGATGAGGTGAGTTTGAAAGTGTGTGAGGGTTTTTCTATCTTTACTTGCTTTTAATGTGAGAACAAAATGAAATGAGTCTAACTTTCCTTGGCCTCTGTAAATGTATGACTTTTGACCTATTTCTGACAATATTGGAAGTTGTAAACAAGCACTGTTTGTTTCTAGAAAGCTAAGTATCAAAATTGTCCTGAAGTGGGTTTTTTTGTAGCATGTTTTATATTGGATGTGTGCTATCTAAAGCAACTCTATTGGGGTCATTAATGACATGTGAATACTCCTCAGAGATGGTATCAAAGGAGTGTATTATACAAATTTTGCCTTGGAGCATTCATGAGGCTTCAGTAATGCGCACAGTATGTTCTTTGTCATTTTATTTTTTCTACTTTTTCCTGCTCTGTCTTCACTATGAACATGACAGGCAGGGAACTGGTTTTATACTCCAGCTAAAATACTAACAGATCTGTAGGTACTGACAATTCAAACATGAAACAGTTCCTGTATTACTGGTAGAAATATGTAGATGGTTCTTTTTGTTCTATGGAAATCTTTTTGGTATTTGCCAATTTATGCCTGACCTTAATTCAGGAAATGTAATTTAGCTCGGTAAGAGACAGATCATGCATGCTCGTCTTCCTAAAGGCATAAGTAACATCCAAGGAGTGTTGTGCCATAGTCCATGAAAATGTTAATGTATTTCAGAAGAGTCCTGTGCACTTTCTTATTGTTGCAATGTCGTTACCAGTTCCTTCAACACAGCTTCAATCCGTAGACTTTTATGATACCCAAGGATGTTGTTTTCCTGCATGTAGACCAGTGGTTTGGCTGAGACAACTTCAAGTGAACTTTTTCTGCCTCTGGGCCTTAAAGAGTACTTTCATTTAATCTGGCTTTTGTTCTCTTTGAGTTGTAGTAGAAGATCTTGAAGAGTTTTTTTTGAGAGGAGGAAGGTCAAAAATAGATCGGGGTCAATTAATTTTCAAGCCCAAAGATCGGACAAGAACAGTGAGTCTTTTAATCGCGTATTAAGGCAATTTGTCACGAATTGCACCTCAAGCAGTGTAGAAACACTCCTTCCTTTGGTTCATTATTGTAGCTGCTGTGGTTTTCTTTGTTTTTGTTTTTGTTTTTTTCCAAGCAAGAAGCAGAAGGGGCAGGATAGCCATGAAGCTATCTGTTCTGGAACAGCTCAGAATTGCTGAAGCCTTGCTTTGGGTTGAAATTCTACTTTTCTTATAGAAATAAAGCTTATAGAAAAGAGAGAATGGACCCCTTTTATTTAGGACTGAAAGGTCCATTTTCTAGCTCTGGTGCAATGGCACTCTGAGGCAATACAAGCCTCAAAAGGATTGAACCTCTCTGTGTCAACAGTGGTTATTTTACAAGATAAAAATCAAAGGACCTCCTACTGTGAGGAACTCTGCTAGAAGTATAAAAATATTAGTGCTGTTATTCTAGCTGCCTCCCGTGTTTGAAAAATAGACTGTCTTTTGTTGTTGATCTTCTGCGGTAAGTGGAAGGGTAACTTTCTCAGACTGGTGTGCTTGGATATTTAGGGATTTTTATTTTGGTTGCAACTGCAGCTTTTGTAACTTTAAGACTTATCTAGGCAAAAGAAATTGAGTAATGCAATTTTTTCTTTTTCATTTTAGGAGTTTGATGAATCCTCACCAAAACGACCAACAAATCCCTATGCCTCCTCTAAAGCAGCTGCAGAGTGTTTTGTTCAGTCTTACTGGGAAAGGTACCAAGTAAGTTGATGCAAGCTTCAAAAACTCAAGCCCGTACTTAGGTGTCTGTATTGTGTATATAAGAGTATAAAAGAAAAATTAGTACTAGTCCACACAGTGCCACCTCTTTCCTGATTGCTAGTGTTGTAGTTTGGAGGTGTTGGAGGATGTCCACCACTTAGGTGGAGATACACTGCAAGACAGTGAGAAGAGGTCAAATGGTTTAAAATTTTGACAATCTGAACTGTAATGTCTAAAAATGTTCTTTGATAAAATGGTCAAAGAAAGTATTGGCAATTTAAGAAAATGGTGTTAATCTTGAAGGAAATACATTTATACAGAAGTAAAATATGCGAAACTTAAATTATATTAAGACTAGGTTTCTAGTGAAAGCCAAAAAAAAAAAAGAGAAAACGCTATTACTCAGATACGTTTAAGCAAAAATATTTAAAATTTTGAATACTTTAGTCTTTTGTTCTTGACACGTCCTTCTGCAAAGTTGTTTTTGACATAAAGTTGACTTGCGAGAGATGTTAATGACTAAAACATTTTCTTGGACTAAGAAGTAGTAAGCCAGTCTTCAGTTAACCAGGTCTGTGTATGTAATGTCCAATGGTGGTTCCATAGCAAGACTGAGAGATTACAAACATGAGTCACTTGTGCTTCTAACAGACTGAGAAAGCTGGAGGCCTTTGCCTGTTTGACAGAAGACTGGATAGCTTAATTCATTCATGTTTGTAAGGGCTTGCAGATTTTTTGAATAAGCACTGCGGGTGTGTCGGTTTATTATTTATTGATCAGTAAGAAGCCTTACAGTTTATACTGGTATATATTTTTCTCATGTAATCACATGGATGTTTACTGCTCTTAAGTTCCCAGTTGTTATCACACGGAGCAGTAATGTTTATGGACCACACCAGTATCCAGAAAAAGTAAGTTAAACCTATGCTTTACACTGAGCTTCAGTATAGCATAATTGAGGGTTGTAGCGATGTTAACTTTTTTCTCGTAAGAATGGACTGACCTTTGGAGGAAAAAAAAAAAAACCCAAACAAACAAGCACTGTCTTGCAAGTATGTTTGTTGACACTTACCTGTGATGATATCTAAGATGTTTTACCATCAACACAGTGAACACATGGGTTTTTGGTTGTCAATGAAGCATCAGTTGGAGATTTCTAGTTAGTTACATGAATTTTACTACAGTGACTTTGTTTCCTAATTTTTTTAATTTTCAAAGGATATTTAACTGCCCTGTGTCTGACAGGGCTCCCCTGCACTTTGCATTAACTTGCGTGTCATGTGCTGCAATTAGGAATGTTTAATAACCAAGGTAAATATTTAAAGTAAACTGTGGGAGAGCAATATGTCTGGTATAGAAAGAGGTGTTCCAACCTGTACAGAAAATAGGTGAGATGAAGCTATAGCAATCAGATATATGGTGAGAAGTAGCGCAAAGTGACTTGTTCTTTACATTTGTCCGTATGTACCTTGTGGAGGTAACTGTTTAAAATGGTTGTTAGAGGGACTTGCCTTTGTAGGCAGTACTAAGATCTGCTATGCTAGTGAGTGGAAGTACACTGATGGAATGGTTGTGATAACCATTCGTAGTCTTTGGAGTTCAGAGCTTGTGTGAAATGTAGCTATATTTTGCAGTTCTAATAAGGTATTTTTTAAGTTGAATTGCTTTTTATGTGTTGGGTTTTTTTCCAAATAAATTTATTTTTCTCTACATTATTGCAGGTGGACAAGCAATATTGGTTTTTTAATGTTTTTCACTGGCCTGTGGCTTGGGAAATATCTGGCTACAGGTTGCGTGATGTGGGGTGTATATTCAGGGGATGTATTACTATTTACTTGCTTTCAGCTTATGTATACTCTTCCTCAAATATCCACTTTTACTTACTGCTAAGAACACAATACTAGGCTAGATGGATCTTTAGTTTTACCTAGTGTGTCTGCTCCTGTGTTTAGAGTAGTAAGTTAACAGAATGAAAAGAAGTGGAATAGCTTTCTAATGGCCTCAGTTTAGAAACTTTAGTAGTGGGGCCAACTGTCCTGAAGTTTCTGGGACATTATGAATGGACCTGATCTTGTAGCTGAACATAATATTGTAAATCTTTATGCCGCAAACTAGCAGCTATCACTTGGTCAGTGTGTACTGATCTTGAAATTCTGTTGGTTCTCTTCCAAATTTAACTTTTTAAATGACTTTTACATTTTGACTATAGATTTACTGCAACTTGCTGGATGTTTAAACCATGTTCTAAACTGTTTGCAATAGGTATCCCTAGGTAGACTCTAGTGCACTTCTGTGTGCAAAAAGTAAAGGAACCATTTTCTTGTGTAAAGTTGTTACATTTGTAACTACTGATTTGAAATGGTTGTCCAGAAAGATAAGCTTTACAGTGCAATAGAGGCATCTACTGTTTAAAAAAACCCCACCCAAATCCTTGCGGTTTCTAGGCTTGACGCATTCTTTGATTAGACTTAAGAAAAGTTTAGTATTTAAAGGGTCTTATTAAAATACTTAATGATACTTATTGATGAAGCCCCATGTTCTTTGCAGAATAACAGCTTCTAAAATATCGGAGTAATGTTTTTTTTGTTCAATTCCTTAGGTTATTCCAAAGTTTATATCTTTGTTGCAACAGAACAGGAAATGGTATGTAATTTGCTGGGGGGGTTTGTGGTATTTGTGCTATAAAACTGTAATTACGGTTATAAATACATGGTATAGTTTGTAAAATGACAATTTCGTAAACAAGTTATGAATTGCTTATTTTAGTAATAGGATTTCCTTAAACTAAAGGATTGTTGGCATGTTGGCCACCTTCAGGTAACAGCTAACAGCAAAACTACTTAAAACACAGTCTAATAAATTGAATGCTTCTATTTAAGGATTAACAAAATTTCTTGCCTTTTCCTGGTTTTAAGCTGTATTCATGGTTCTGGACTTCAAAGAAGGAATTTCCTTTATGCAACCGATGTGGTAGAAGCATTCCTTACTGTCCTGAAGGAGGGGAAGCCAGGTGAAATTTATAACATCGGAACTAACTTTGAGATGTCCATTGCCCAGCTTGCCAAGGAGTTAATCCATTTAGTGAGTAAACAGTTACGATGCTTTCCTTTACCAGTCATTGCACATAGCAACAATTTTAACTATAAAGTTTTTGTAGCTCTGAGAGGACTTAGGCTTGCGGTGGGTCTTAAAAGATAATTGTAGCAGAGCAATGTGCTACCGTTTCTGTGGCAGCTGTCCTATGTCAGTTTGCAGTACAACCATCGTGCGTTGCACTGCTGCGTCAGTTATCCCGACTAGAATGTAACTGTCGTAATGATTAAATACCACTTGGTAAGCTTTTTTCATGATGGCTACTTCAGTTTTGGTCTGAGAATGTGGCACTGTTAAAATCTTAACACTTTGGTTATGAATACTTAGGCAGTGCTTGGATGAAGGAGAAGTACTGGAATTGTTTTGGATTGTTTTGACAATTCAAGTAGTTTGAAAATTCAGTTTAGATAAAAGACCGTTTCTGTTTGTTGCTTGATTTTAATTTTTTTTTTTTTTTCAGTAGTTTGAAAAATCAGTTTAGATGAAAGACCATTTCTGTTTGGTGCTTGATTTTTTTTGTTTGTTTGTTTATTTTTGGTTTGGTTGGTTTGGTCTCTTTTTTTTTTTTTTTAACAGACTTAATTCTTGTTAAAAATCTATTTTAAAATGTATGTTAAGATGATGCAAGATGTGTGGGGGTGACTTTTGTTTCTCTTCTTGACAGATAAAGAAGACCAGTTCAGAATCTGAAATGGAGCACTGGATGGATTATGTCAAAGACAGGTAAGCACATGCAGGATAGCTTTATCCTGAAGTTTTCTGTGACTCTTAACAAATATTTTTTTGTGAAGATGTTTCTGTTCTGCAACAGGGAGAACTTTTGAGGCAGTAAGAGCTGTTTTGCCTTTTTTTTTTTTTGCTAGTGGATTTCACATCTGTGATCTGTACAGAACACCGTATAGAAAAACAAGATTTCAACTTACTATTTGGATCTTTAGGTCAGAGTGTATGTCTTGAAGAGGAATGTGTAATGCTAATTTGTCTGTCTTTCAAACTTTCTTCAGACTTCTCGCTACTGAAGTGTGTTCTGGGAAAAGGACAGGTTTTACACAGTAGCTAATTTTTTTCTTAAGGATATTTTACATAGTTTATTAAGTACTTTGCATTCAACATCACTTGAGTGAGATGAACTCCATTCTCTCTCATTTAGTGTTAGTATTTTGATGTTAATGTGACTAGTTCAGACTTGGATGTGCTTTATAGGTAAGACCCACTCTCCGTAGGCAGCAGTATGCACCTACGGGGTGTAGTTAATTTTAGATTCCTATCTTAAGCTGAAACTGCTCTCTCAAAAGTAGATGTAAAACCCTGAGGTGACAAAGTTAGGGCAGTGCCAAAAATGGATAGCTTTTATAAATACACTTTTGCTGTGTGTTTCCATCCTTAATTTCAAGCTTGGTTTGGCTCTGTTCTCTTATCTCTCTTTCTTTTCTGCAGCAACAATGAGTCTCTGCTTACTTTAGGTATCACTCTATCCAGAGTGATTAGAAATGACGTTATCTGCTGATAGCAGTTAAGTATTAGCATGGCCGTTTAGAATCCTCACTTTCTGTTCATGTTTGGGTTGTTATCATGGCAACTGAAGTGTCTTTAAATGTACTGATTTTGTTTTTAAAAGGAAGTGTTCTTCAGAATCCTATCCGAGTGTGTCGCAGGACTTTGAACAAATTGCCTTTAGCTCACATGATGTGAGTGTTCAGTAGGTCTCAGTGTAATTCAGATTGAGATGTTTCTTCATGTGTACTGGGCCCTGTCTGCTAATGTTTAAACATAAATGGGCTTGGGAAAACCAACCACGTAGGAATACATGTTTCAAAGAATGTTGAGGTCTTATAAAAGATTCTTAAGATACCTAACTAATGATTATTTAATTCTGTAATGAGCGACTTGCAGGTCATGGGGGTTACTTGCCATGGAAAAATTAGTTCTGCTTCTGCTTGAGATTAGCATTTTTTAATAATGGTGATAAGTAGCTGGTTTCTGTCTGCACATGTAGCTTAACTATTCAGTATGCTAGTGCCAGTAATGCAGGAATGTTAGATTAGAATACCTAACTGCCAGGTTGTAGAAGTGAAAATTTGTGCCATGCTTAAACGTAGGGAATCTTTCTGTGTTGAATCTTGCAGCCTGGGATTCTACATGTTCAGTATTACCAAGTTTGTGTAGCTAATGAGGCACTGTAAGGACAATGCTTTGGAAGTCTATGCATTCCGAATCTGAAGTATGTGAAAGTTTCTGGGCTTTCAGGATGAAAAATATGAATGCTGACATTAGAAAACACTGGCTTGTATAGTGACTGTCTAAAGAGCTGCAAATGCACTGACTTGCACAGTTGCATTGGCAGTGATTTGGGTTTTGCATTCATTTTTGTGCCAATAAGATATTAAATTACATTTAGTCTAGTCACTTCCAAGTAGTTGACTGTACAAACTGAATTGTATTGATGTAGCTGCATTCAACTGCTGTGTATTTTTTGAAGGCAATATAATCTGTTGATGGGGAATTTTCAGAATTGAAGCATACTAAATGTTGGTTTGAAGACAATGTGAGGTACTGCATCTGTAATTAATTAAAAAGTCTAATCAAATTGTTTTCCATGTGCATTTTATACTTCATCAGGCCTACCAATGACCTGAGATACCCAATGAATTCAGAGAAGATGCACAACTTAGGGTGGAGACCCAAAGTGCCTTGGAAAGAAGGAATAAAGAAAACAAGTAGGACTGGTGGCTTTTACACTGATTGATTTAGAAGTGATGGTAGGAG